GTGAGCGTGAGGACAGGAGGGTCACCTCGTGACTTGGCATTTGAGGAATCTACCCCGTTAGCGCTCACAGGAATAGTGGCCTCATGGCATCTCTGAGATTTCAAAGAAACATTCACTGGTCATCTATTTTGTGCCAGGCTCTTGGCCAGACACTGGGGTTGGAACTTAAAAGACATATTTAACAATAAAGTGTGTGCTGAGAAGGATGCGCTCTAACACTGGTTGGGCACCTGCCTTATGCTGCCATATGGCATTTGTTCCTCTCATGGTGGATTGTGTTTCCAAAGAAACCTCAACAATGTCCCATCCCATGTGCTCTTTTGCATTGAGAACATAGCACTTTCCCATCACGAATTGGTACATATTTCTTCTCCCCTTGAATCTGGGATGACTGTGTAGCTTCTGAGCCTGGGCTTTAGGAGATGGCCAATATATCCATTTTCCTGATCGACACTCTTCTTGAGGGTTGTCTGTGTCGGACCACCAGAGACCACGCTGTGAGGAAGCCCATGCTAATCAGGGGGGAGGGCCAAGCAGAGGGGCCCCAGTGAGACACTCATGTGAGTGGAGCTGTCTTGGACCTTCTAGTCTAACCCAGCCACTAATGAACAGAATGACCCCAGGGGACATCTTGTGGACCAGGATCACCCAGGCCTGACCACAGAATCGTGAGTGAATAAAATCACTGTTTGTATAAGCCTTTAGGTGTTGGGAGCATTTGCTAAGCTGCCATAGGGAACCAAAATGCCTCCTTCATCCTCCTTCATAGCTCTGAGAAGCAAGGGGCATTATCTCCACTTTGTAGATGGGAAACTGAGGATCAGAGACCTGAAATGACTAATCCGAAGTCGTGTGGGAACTCAGTGGCGGAAGCAGGATTCAAATACAGGCCTCTGTAACCCAGAGACTGTGCCAGTTCCCTCGGCCATGGTGTCCTCAGAGAGCAGAGGGTGAAGGCCTTTACTCCTGGGGAGGGGAGCTGGGAGCTGGGAGGTAGACTTTTCCTGCAACCCTTTTGTACCTTTAAATTTTTGAATATATTACCTACTCCATTATAAACAAATAAAGGTAATGTTTTTATTTCAGACAAAAATAATTGTGGGGTATGTGTACATTAGGGTGGAAGCAGATGAAATTAGAGGCCGCTCCACAGAACAGAAGCATTTGGGCTTGGCATCCAATTGGGTGGTTCCCACCCCTGGCCTACTGAGCTTTAGAACTCCTGAGGCCTGGGCAGCTGGTTTAATTGGTCTGGGGTGTGGCTTAGGCCTTCGGATTTTGTAAAAGCTTCCAAGGTGGTTCAAATGAGCAGCCCTGGTTGAGAGTCACAGGCTTAGATGGAGGACCAGGATTCCACAAGGCAGTGAAAGGCTAGGGAGGGGATGGGTGGGCTGTGCAGGCCTGAAGTCGACGATTTGTGCAGAAAAAATGAAAAAGAATTGCTCTGGGGGTGTAGGGGCTTAAACAAAACAGAACAAACACAACCAAACAGAACAGGATGAAGGGAGTGGCCCTGCTTCCTGTGTCCCGGTGGGTGTGATCATTGAGTCAGTTCACAGACGTGCTCAACCTTCATGACCAAATCGATCAAGCTCAGAGGGAATTAATTTGAAGGATGGTACTAGTTAGGTTTGCTTATGGGGGAAAATGATAAGCATTGTGAAATCCATCACTGCTCGGGGTGCCTTTCCTGGTCCCTGCTTCGCCAGGGTCCTCCACCTGCAGCCGGCAGTGGCCTTAGGCTGCAGCTCTGTGTACTCGTCTGGGAAGATCTAGTGTCTGCAGTAAAGAAAGCAACTGCCAGACAAGATGAGTAACAAAAAGCTATTACTATGCATAATATGTTTGGACAGCAGTAGGGGCTGGGATGAGGAGCTGATGGGTAACGGTTTCTACCATGATCCACTTCTGGCAAGATATAAATTGATTTGTTTGAGTTCCCAGAATAACTAGTAACTTTTTAGTGACAACCAGGAAGAGTCTCTCTGAAGAGATCACAGCATGAGACCCATGAGACCCTAAAGCTTATGTCTTTAGGTTTTGAAATAATAATCAGTAATAATAATAATAATAGCTCACATAGATATTGTGCTTTCTGTGTGCCTGGTGCTATTCCAAGTCCTTAATGGATAAATCCAGGCAGACTCAGGTTCAAATCCCAGCTTTGCTGTTAACTAGCTCAGGGCCCCAGGGTCTCCATTGTCCTGTTGGTTAATAAGGACACTGCTTTAGACCAGGTGACCTTGGTGAGGGGCCTGCTTGCCACACACAATGACCGTCCACCATTCAGTGCCAACCTGAAGGTCTCTTCCTTTCACTAACCCTCATAATGTGAACTCAGACTTTAAACTCAGCCCATATACCAGCTTCCCTTCTTAAACCTCTGCTATCAGCTTTCCTAAGATTTATTCGTGATTTGGTTTCAAATTTTCTATTCTGACCTCTTAGGCAACTCTCTGGGTCTTAAAGCCATTCGGCATCAATTTTATTACTTCGCAGTATAAATTGTCCAGCCCTCCATGACCCATAGAAGCCTCTGGCTGCATGTGACATTTTAAATACTAACTTTGGGGTTCTTGTCTTCAAGGGAGGAGGAATTATGTTCAAACGGTGGCTCTTTAGAAATACATAAAACATGAGCTGAGCTGTTAATGGAAAAGTCACCTTCTCACAACCCCTGTTAGGCACGGCTGGGACAGGTGATTGAACCCCCTCCCTTTTGCAAAATTAAGAGCAAATATTGGTTTACCCTTAACCAGGATGACCTCAGGCCCATTCCTGTTGCAAAAAAAACTGCAGTTGGTGCTTGAACGCAAAATGGAGCAATGGCTGGACCTGTGAGTGCCACTGTAGCCAGTCAGGCAAAGCGACACTCTGCAGGTAAACTGGCCTTTTCTCAGGAAAGAGTCCTTCAGCCAAAGGAAAGAAGCTGGAGATGTGGAATTCCAGGAATCTGGGGAGCTCTTGAAGGCAGGGACTTCCTCATGTGCTTGTGTGTCCATCATGGTTGTTGACCACATAAGGAAATGGGCAGGTGAATGAATTTGGATTGTCCCAAATTCATGATGGACTCAATCTGGTTCAGAACGTCATCCCAAAGTGGACCCTCTTGAGGACACAGGTCATCTGGCTGTTTAGAAACAAACACTGAAATTCTGGTTGGATAAAAATAGGTGATACACCAGCTTGGTATTACAGCATAGACCCTGAGGCCAGGCTGCCTGGCTCTGCAAACTTGGGCAAGTTATTTAAACTTTCTGTGCTATCTGCAAAAATGGACACAGAAATAATAATACTCCCTTATATAGAAATAATAAAATCTCCCCTAGAGAGTTGTTGTGAAGCTTAAATAAATTAATTTTTAAAAAGAGATTAAAAGAATTCTGGCAATATTTAAAAAATTAAATCAAAGACTAGTAAAGACTGAGCTAGGGACCCTTCCTTGAGGTGACTTACTGCGACTGAATCTCAGTGACTTTTTACAGATTAGGCCACATTAAGCCAAATTCCCCTACCTATAAGAATGTTGACTTTGATGGGAAATCTTAAGATGCCCGCCTTCCCCTCCAAGCACCCGGGAGAACCTGATAGCCCTGATCATCACTGTGTCATTCGTGGGAAGAGGGAAAATTCTCCAGCTCCAAGAATGCCCCTCCACCTGCTCGTGGACGCTGGCATCCCACTCAGTGCCTCTGCCCCCCTTCCACCCTTCAGGCACAGTTAAACTCCTCCCATGTCCAGAAGGACCACTTGCTGGGAGTTCTTGCAGAGCCTTACTCTTCTGCTCTCTCACCCTCATCCCACCTGTATTTACTGCTTCAGTTTCTGCCTCCTCTATTAGGCTGTGTATGGTAAATTTCTGTGTCAACTTGTCTGGGCTACAGGATGCCCAGATATTTGGTCAAACTAACTTACTCTGGGTGTGTCTGTGACGGTGTTTTCTGGATGAGTGGAACATCTGAACAGGTGGACTGGGACAAGCAGATTGCCTTCCCTAGTGTGGCAGTTTTCCCCTCTGCCTTTGATCTCCAACTAAAACATCGGCTCTTCTTTCCTCTTGAGTCTGCTGGCTTTCAGAAAGGAGCTTAGACCATTGGCTCTCCTCGGTCTCCAGCTTGCATATCTATAGATCTTGGGACTTCTCGGTCTCCATAACCACTTGAGCCAATTTCTTATAATAAATCTGTTTATATATATATATATATATATATATATATATCTTCTTCAGTCTGTCCCCATGAACCCATCATAAGTTGGAAATATCATTAAGTCAAAAATGCATTTAATACATTTGATCTACTGAACATCACAGCTTAGCCTAACCTACCTTAAACATGCTCAGAACACTGACACTGGCCCACAGTTGGGCAAAATCATCTGACACCAAGACTGTTTTATAATAAAGCATCTCATGTAATTTATGGAATACTGTACTGAAAGTGAAAAGCAGAATGGTGTCTGGGTACAGAGTGGCAGTAAACGTATTGGTTGTTTCCCCTTGTGGTCACGTGGCTGACGGGGAGCCGTGGCTGCCGCTGTCCAGAGGCAGGAGAGAGGATTACACAGCACGTCACTAGCCCAGAAGAAGATCAGAATTCCAAATTCAAAGTACGGTTTCTACTGAATGCATATCGCTTTCACAGCATTATAAAGTCAAAATATTATAAGTTGAACCATCATAAGTTGAGGACTGTTTGTATTTATGTGTATCTCCAATTGGTTCTGCTTCTCTGGAGAACCGTAATGTGAGGATGTAGGATGTAAATTAAATGAGAACAGGGAGATCTCTCTGTGCCTCAGTTTCCCCATCCTTAGAGCCTTGTGAGGGGCTGGCGTCCTATCAACATTTGTTGAAGGAAGGAATTCCTGTGTAAGAAGGAACTTCTGTGGCAAAGCCACACCCCTGAGCCCTCAGCCCTTCTGAAACCCTGAGGGCAGCATTCACAGGATCTGGAAGTTTGTGACTTTGATCTTCGGATCTTTTTCTGCTTTCCTTTCAGCATCCTTCTCTCTACCCTGGTGCATCCCTGGGCTTCCGAGTCTCAAATCTATTCTCCAGCTGGGATCCACTCCACATGCTAATCCACACCACTATGTGAATAATGAGAGGTGTGCCTTCAAGGGATGAAGAGCTCATTGTGGGCATAAAGCTTGTCCCCTGGTGCTCGATGTGGCAGAAACTCAACAGTTATTTGTGATTACCAAGTGGCACGGGAATCCTGAGAGAATGCTATTAGCCCCATTTTATAGATGTCCCTGTGGAAACCCAGAGGGGTACGAGGCTTGGCCAGGGTAGAGCTGGGATTCCAGCCACCATTTGTGGGAATCTGAGTCTCATGCTTTTCCCTCAGCTTGCTCAAAGGCCACATGGGGGCCCACAGGCCCCTCCCTAGGAACACGAACTGGTGGGCCCCTGGCATGCTGCCACCCCTCAGGTGATGTAAATATATTCTGCGGGCACTCACCCTGGCAGGGACCGCATTGGTGCCGCAGGCAGGGGCTCTGGGTGCAGAGGGTGTGACTTCATTGGCTTTCATGAGGTGTCTTTATGCGGGGAGTCGGAGATCTGTGGGCTCACTGCAACACTTGACAAACCTGTAAATATGTATTTGGAGTCACTCACTGCCTGGCCTTTGCATGAAATCTGCATTGCAAAATCAAGTCCAGAGAACAGGGCTTTTTAATCAGGCCAGCGTGACCCGGACCTGGCTGGCACTGACCCCTCCCGCAGCCTCAGTTCCTTCGGTTGTGCATGGGATCATTGTTCCTGCCCTGCTGACTCTTTAGCAGTGTTAAAGATCGAGAAGGAGGATGGATTTGAGGGTGCTCTGTCAACTGTAAAGTACCGGGGGCCGGTTCCTCAGAAATGAACAAGGCATTTATCCTGTCCTCTCACTGCTAGGGAGCCGATCAAAGAAAGAGATGACCTACCACCCAAGGCAAGAAAGGGAACTGTGGGATGCAGAGGGCATCAGGGAGGACTTCCTAGAGGAGGGGAAGTTGTAATGGATTCTGAGGGACAGACAGAATGTAGACAGGAAAACTGGGAACAGCATGAGGTAACATGTGCATGTATTGATGTGTCGGGGGAATCCTCTGCAGGAGTTAAGAGCAGAGGCCCTGGGCAGACTAACCTGGGCTTAAGTCTTGGCACCATCACCTCTTACTCTATGACTTTGGTAAGTCACTTCACTTCTCTCAACTCTGGTTTATTTACCTGTAAAGCTGGGTGAATAATCCCACCTTAAAAGATAAAACCATGTGCAGGGAGAAAGGCCTCAGCACTTTGTCACGTGGTTTGCACCCGATGAAGGGTCGCTAACAATGTTGGTCTCGTCCAGAAGGCTAGACTGACCCAGGAGAGGAGGAGCTGGTGTCTGTGGTTGGCAGTAGCCTCCTTGGGTCACTGGTAAACTCTGTGTTGAGTCCCAGAAAGATCATTGCCTTTGGAATCAGAGGGTTCTGAGTTTGGGTCTCAGCTCTGCCACTTTCCACCTGTGCAATGTTGTTCTGAAACCTCCCAGAGCCTGTGTTCTCTCATCTGTAAATAGAGGTGTGTTAGCATCTTGGTTGGAAGGACTGGATGCTCCCATGTCATCTTGAGAAGAGGAGGTTTATTGTGAAGATATGCATAGGACTGGGAGGGCATCGGGATTTGAAGAAGCTCCAGGGATGAGCCCCTGGGGCCCGCATGTCATAGGTGGACTCTTCATGGCCTCGTGCCTGCGTGGACCACTCAGTGGCAAAGGATAGGGTATGACTGAGGCGAAATGACTGTTGGAAAGAAATAAAATCAGTTTCTGTCATACACTAAAATAAATCCAGATGCTAATAAGATTTAAATGTAAACGAATAAATAAGAAGAAATGTATAATCATTTGATTTTTGTTGTAAGATCTTTCTAAACATATGTGCAAAGACAAAAACCATGAAAAAGAAAAGATAGATATATTTAACTGAATAAAACTTTACAAATCCTGTAAGCAAGAATACCAAAACAAATCTGAAAAATCTAACAGTAAAATGGCCACAATGTTTGTAATATACATGACAAAGAGCAAAAAGCCCTTGCAAATCAATAAGAATGAAGACGAAAGGGTAAAGGATATGAAAAAACAATCCAGGATACACAAGTGGCCAATAAATGTATGAAAATATTCACCTTTGCTAATAATGAAATAAATTCAAGTTAAATAGCCATTTTTTCTCCCACCAGTAGTCCCCAATGGAAATGGGAGCTTTCAGGCTGAGAACAAATCCCTACTCTGTGTACACCAGTTCTGGGGATAAATGAAAGACGACGCATGGTGGGAGGGTATAGCTCAGCAGTAGAGCGCAAACCTAGCAGGCACAAGGTCCTGGGTTCAATCTGCAGTACTTCCATTAAAATAAAAATTAAATAAATGTATCAATAAATACACCTAGTTACCTGCCCCCGCAACAAAAAAATAACTGGATATCCACATGCAAAACACTGAAGCCGTAGCCCTAGCGTGCACAAAAATGAAACAAAAAAAAGAAAGACGATTCATCAAACGTCTTAAAACCACACCTGCCCCCTTTTAGCCAGCGATTCTATTACTGCAACATTGTCCTGAGGAAAAAATCAGAGGTATGCAAGGATTCGGCAACGAGAATATATGTGAGAGTGTACCTTTTTATGACAAAACGAGTGAAAGCAACCTGAATGTCTAAGAATAGGTAATTGGCAGCGTAAATTATGGGATATCTGCAAGACGGAATAAATCCTCAACTGTCATTAAAATTGACAGTGTAAATCTAGTCTTAATAACAAGGAAGTATGTTCTAATTTTATTATTTAGTTGAATAAAACATATTACAAAATGGTATTACACGTGACCCCATTTTGTAAAAACGTAAAAATCTAAACATATAAATTTGCAAAGGAAAAAATCTAGAAAATGTACACTAAAATATCAATATATCTCTCTGGGAGATGGGATTTCTGGTGATTCGGGTTTTTTTTTTTTGGTTTGTTTTGTTGCTTATGATATTTTTCCTCTAAAATATCTCATTTGTCTATAAAAACATATCTAGACCAATAAAAGTAATAAATAAATGATTCTGCAGGATGTAGTCATAGCAATACTTATAGGGAAATTCACAACTTTAAACAATGTTATCACCAAAAAGAGAAAAGCAGCGAGTTTTACCTACTAGAAAAGGCACAAAAACAACCCAAAGGAAAATGGTAAGAATAATAAAATAATAAAGATAAAAATTAAAGTAAATAAATTAGAAAACAACAACAAAAACCAGTGGAATTAAAAAATAAATCCATGAGCTGTCTCTTTAAAAAGATTAATGAAATACAAACTTCTGGCAAATCTAATCAATGGGGAAAAGCAGACACAATTAAAATGAGAAATGGGTATAACCGCCAAAATAAAAGAGATCAACATAGGTGAGAAAGAGCCACGCACACTTTCATAGTCATACATTAAAAACATCTTAATGAAAATGCCTCGTTTTCTACAAATACATAAACCACCGTGGGCATCCAAAGACGTACTTCATTCGCAGGACAAAAATCAGCCACCAAGGAAGCCCAGGCAGAATGAGCCAGCTTTCCTACCCAGTTGTTCTGAGAGTCAGCTCTTGACAAAATAAAAATTAATCAAATAAATAAACACAAAGGGAATCTTCTGCCAGAAGGTCGATCAAGCATGTCCTGATCGGCCTCCAAATACTATTAAGACGCGTCAGGGTTGCTGGGCGAGATGACATCATTTGACAGGCTGCGATTTTCTTCCAAGCCACAAACCAGCTCAGCCATTTCTGGGGCGCTGGCTCCCCCAGGGCCTCTTGGGTTGTGTGTGGCCTCTTTTGCTTGGTGAGGTTTAAGACCTTGGAGAGTGCTTCTAGGCGAGGCGTGTGTGTCCAGACACACTTAAATTTACCTGGTGACGTTCTAGCCGTTAGAAGTGAGCCTTCCTCTCCAGGAAAGACCCTGCGTTGAGGGCCGCACATACAGTGGGCTCCTTGGGGCATCTGCCTCACACTTTAAGGATCATGAACTTGCCCCACAAGAAGCGCTGTGCCCTGAGTATCCCAACACATTTGTGGATGAAAGTAAAAGCCGAAGGTTGTGGGAGTTCCCATGTACCTTTTTTGCTCTGACATTTTCTAGCTTAATCTGGGTCTTCTGTAAACATTCACAGATGTTCATAATCATAACTGTAGAGTAAAGTTTAAAGTATGTCTTTTTCTAACATCTATTTATAGCTAACACCAAAATCCAATGATGGTGATCAGATGTTACCTAAGCATGTAGACCACTGCGCGCTACGCTGCATTTGCTGGGAGAGAAATACCAATTTGTCATAAACCATTTTTACTTAACAAAGGCTAATTTCAAAATACAGAATCAGAAAGGAAATCAAAGGAGAACCTGGGTTAGGGCCTCTGAATTTAAATCCTCTCCCAAAGCTCATCTAATTCCGAGAAGCCTGAGTTAAGAATCTTGGGTCTTCTTCCCTCCTTCTGTTTCACCGTAGCCCAGGGCACCTGCATGAATCTTCAGGGTGTGGAGCTGATGGAAGCTGTGAGGATGGGGTCTCTGCTTACAGATGAGGACAGAGACCCCCTGAACTCTTCACTGAACTAATATAAGTGACCATCTGGGGAGTGCCTCCCTCAGGCACTCTGCAGGCCTTAGGTCGGGTTCCTAGTTGTTACTCAGGATTCTCTAGAGAAACAACCCATTGTATGTGATATAGATATAGATATAAATAGATTAATTTTAAGGAATTGCTGCATGAGATTGTGGAGGCTGACAAGTCCAAAATCTGCAGGGCAGACTGGCAGGCCTGAGACCCAAGGGAAGAGCTGATGGTGCAGCTCGAATCTGAAGACAGTCTAGAGGCCAAACTCCCTCTTCCTTGGGGACTCTCAGTCTGTTTCTTCTGAAGGCCGTCAACTGATTATATGTGACCCACTCACAGTATGAAGGATAACTTGCTTTACTGAAAGTTTACTAATTTAAATGTTAATCTTGGGGGGTGGGTATAGCTCAGAGGTAGAGTGTGTGCCTAGCATTCACGAGGTCCTAGGTCAATCCCCAGTAATTCCATTAAAAAAATAAATAAACCTAATTAACCCCCCATTTTTAAAAAAATAAATGTTAGTATCATCTAAAAAATACCTTCATAGCAACATCTAGACTTGTGTTTGACCAAATATCTGGGTACCACGGCCAAGTTGACACGTAAAATTAACCATCACACTGGGTAATGGATTCTGGGCTGGAGAGGTGCCTGCAGGTGGATTATAGGGGAGTGCTCTTGGAAGCAATGCCTAGGGGCAGAGAGGAAAACAGGCTGGAGCAGAGGGAGAAGCGGGGCTGCAATGCAGTTGCATCACAGGCCTCGGCCCCTCCCACTGGGAGCTCTGAAACTGGAATGGCTCTTACTGTTCCAGCTGGATCAAGGCACGGGGGCTGGGCCTTTACCCCCTCCACAGACCACTGGATGCTGGCTGCCTCCACAGAGGGACCTATTCCCAAAGAGGGTCTGGGTTGAGAGCCATCGGCCACCAATTCTCCCTGCATCCTGGGGCACTCATGTCCCCAACTGGAAGGAGGCAGTTGAGTGATGCACCATAGCATCTGCCACACAAGCAGCATCTCACTTCATCCCTCATAGACCCTCACAAAGTGGGATTGACAGTCCCCATTTTACAGATGAAGAAACTTGAGGCCCATATCAATGGGATAGCTTGTTAAAGCTCACAAGCCTGACAGGCTGTAAATTAGTCCAAGATGTCCAATCACTCAGCTCTAGGGTTTGGCCCTTCATCAGGAGTTTGCCTGTAACAGAGATTGTCATGTGGGGATTGATACTCTTCTCACTGGTTGGATTGAGGAGTGTCTAGCTTGGCATCTGGGTTAGGGGACACATATAGCTTACAAGAAAGAGGAAACCAGTTGGGGGTTGGAAAAGAGAAGACCCTCCCTTCAGCTCCATTTCAGCACTCTTTGGCTTTTCTCTAGTTGTCCCTGGTAGGGAAGGTCTGACCTCTCTCTGCTGCAGAATATCTGGTGGGGTCCAGGGTGTGGCAGCAGCTTTTTCTCTGGGGCTTGTATATAAAACATCTGCAGCGAGCCCTTTCCCTCTGGGTCTGCTGAGATCCTACAGGAATTCCTCGCAGGCCCAAGGTCTGCTTCCATGGAAGCACCTGCTAGAGAACCTTTCAAATACTTGTTTTTGAGAATTTCACAGCTACTCTTAGGAGAGGTTAAAGAAGGCTGCCGGAAGCTGCTGCTTTAATTGTGAGTCAGCCTGTCCCTTGGCAAGTACACATGAGCACCTGCTGTGTGCCCAGCACTCCTGGGTGGCTTTCAAGCCCCACAGCTTTGGTATGGGAACTCCCTCCTGCCACTCCTGATGCCATGATCTCAGGCTGGTTACTCAACCCCGTCAACCTCAGACTGCTCATCTCTCAAGTGGGGGTGATAACAGCATTACATGGGGCTCCTGTGAGCATTGGAGAAAATGTTCGTAAGATGCAAAAATGTTCGTAAGATGCAAAAATGTTCATAAGATGCTTGGGATGGTCCCTGGCACCTGGAACGTGCTTAACAAATGCCAACTCTCTTCCAGTCCCTGTGGGAAGGGGTGGGGCTGCATGGATGCGTAGGACACCGTCCCTGCCCTTAGGGAGCTTAACCTCAAATGCTGATTAGTGTGACTAAGTGAAGCAAAGAAACAAGAACACCCTCAGAGAGAACCAACTGGAAAGCATGCTGCAAGTTTCCCTGGCCTGGGGACCCAGGGCGCGTGATGGGGTGGGCTGAGAGGCCTGCAGGCCAGACCACCTGCAGGCCCAGCTCTTCCTCCAGCCAGCTGGGGAACGAGCCCCTCTCAGATGCCCAGCTCCCTGCTCATTACTGTCAAGTGACCTTCATAAAGGCAACACAGAGGCTTATTTCTGATCCCACTGCATTGGAAGCAGAGAGCATTTTGCCTTTCGTCAAGGAACCCAGCCTTGTTGGGAGAGAAGCTCTGCTCCTTACATACACACATACATATCCAAACACATATACACACATACGCGCACACACCCATACATACACACACATACAAATACATAAACACACACACACACACACACATTTTATCAGAGAAAAGTCCCGGAAATGTGGACTTTCTACATAACGGGTTACTGCGCGCTCCCTGTTTGCCAGACACTGTGCTAACACTTAACCCTCCAACAGTTCTCTGTGGGTAGAAGTGATTATTAACACTGGTTAACAGATGAGAACCTGAAACTCAGAGAGGTGAAGTAATTTGCCTAGACTCTAACTGCTAGTAAGCGGTGGGACCAGAGTCAGAACCCAGACAGGCTAAACCCATAGTCTGGGCTTTTAACCTCTGAACTCTACTGGCTGCCCCAGAGTAAGGGTTACAGGTGCTCAAGGAAGGCTCCCTGGGGGAGGTGGCACTGAATCAAAGGGAGTGACAGGTTAGAATGGCTGAGTGTCTACTTGGCTGGGGCTCTGGAGGTACAGTCGGCTGTGAGTGTGTGAAGAGAACTGAAGAAGGCATTATGGATGCTGGTTCTGCAGAAGTGAGGGCGGGGAGGCGGGACTTGAGCGTGCAGTGAACCGGGTTCAACCGGGAAGTGAGCCACCTGCACAGATGCACACGTGAGGACCGGGAACATGGCAGGACATCTGAGCTGCCATCCCCTGGCCCTCCATCACTGCCTGTTCCTTCACCCTGGGAGCCGGGAGGCATGCTTCCTCCTCCTTGGCTCCTTCAGCTTTGGCGTCTGACACACTGACCCACATCACAGGCAACTGTACGCTCCGCTCCAGCTGCCTTGGCAG